TGTAATTAGCCTTATCTTATTTGTACAAGTTATACGTTGAATTCATTTTATTTTGACAAAATATAGTGATTTTGTAATTATTATTTATTCTTATCGATAATGTTAGTAGTGATTCATTTGGAGAGGCCTATTCCAACTTATATTTATGAAATTAAATTTGTTTCTTTTAAGAGAATAAATGAGAGAAGATTATCAATTATAATATTTATTTTCACCACTCTCTAATTGATATATTGAAAAGTTTTAAAAAGGGATAATAAACAATAAATTACAATAGATGAAAGAAAATTCTCAATTGTAATAATTATATTTGGCCTCTTTATCAAATATTTTGAATTCTTTTTAAGAAAATCAAAATACAGTAAATTCCTGCGAATGAGAAAGAATGCTTAGTTGTAATTTATTTTTTTTTAACCTCATACCTCTAATGTATTGAAAAGCTTATTTTAAAAAAAAAAGAAATAATAATGAACACTAAACTATAGTGAATGAAAAACTCTTTAATTATATTATTTATACATAACACAACAATTAAAATTTTAAATAATTTATTTAATATACATGCAATTAAGAATATATTTAAAATTATAAAACATAAATGTAATTAATACTCGTGTTTTGCATGGCCTCACCACTATAGTTACATACATTCGTAAGCACGAGAACGCGACGGTAGTTGCCTTTGCGACACCGTTTCGATTCAATAACATATTCGATTTTGTACTATTACTCCACTTTCTCTCATCATATTCCCTTTTCTTTGCATACTTCGTGATATCATTATCAATTTCACGACTCATCGGTGATTCCAGTGTTTTACGATAGTTAAAGAGGCTTGATAGAGTGTAATCGAGTTTGAGAACCACGTGCTTTCGCTTGTCACGAATTGTTTCATAAATCAAAGTAATGAATGAACAATTTATGATATTACGTTGATTCCTCACATTTATATTCTTATTCTTATTATTATTAATATTAGTGGAGCGGGATTCATTCTTTTATAAAAAAAATAAAAATAAAATAATAAAGTACGTTGATTCAACGCTGTGATTGGTCTTTGAATTTTGAAGTTTTAATTTCAAATTTTAGGTTTGATAAAAATATTAATTTTTTTTAACAATAAAAGGATATAATAATTAAATAAGATAATTATTAAAAGGATATTTATTTTATATATTAATATAGATTATTATTATTATGGGATTTTATGTAAAGAAAACCCCATATGCAGTATGTGGTAGTGAATTCGAAATGTGGTAATTGACACCCATAAAAAAGCTATAAAAAAAAAAAAAACATATCCCAAGTTCTCAAGTCAGCAACTCTCACATATACTGATAGCTATATTAATTGAAGGCTAAAATTTTAATTTGGTCTTTTATAATATTTTAAAGTTTTAATTTAGCCTCACTTTAATTTTTGGGTTCGATTTAGTCTTATTTGTCAAAAATATCAACAATGTTTACCTTCCGTTTAAATTTCTCAAGTGACGTTTAAGAGCTATGAGAATCACGTCCGTGATTTCCACGGTGTCAATCACATAAAAAAAATATGCCAAGTAAGAGTTATAAGAATCACGCCCGTGATTCTCAATCACATGGATACTCTTAGTCGGCGTTTGAGAAATTTAGACGAAAGACAATCATTACTAGCATTTTTAATAAGTGGGACTAAATTAAAACGAGACTAAATTAAAACTTTAATATTATAAGAGAATAAATTAAGATTTTAGCCGAATTATTAAGAAATTTCCAAGCTGAGTCGAGAAAGAAAAAACTGCATAATTGACCGTTAACAAGTGAAGGGTGATTGAAAGAGTGATGAGGTTTATGGTCACTCATACACAACAATTGCGACCGTAAAAAACTCTCATCACTTGTAGAACTACGTGGAGCCAATATTTGATGATTAGGTGTTAACAACAGCAGTGGTGTTCACACAACTAATGATCATGATAATTGGGGTGGTGCAAGTTTATAAATTATATAAAAAACGCCTCAATATGGTACAAACCTAAGGCAGTAATATTTGTTGTGGTTGCTTATAAGTCATTAAAGCCTTGTACAGTTGCTGAGGTTGCATATAAGTCATTAAAGCCTTATCCAGTAGTTGAGGTTGCTACATGGATCTGTTGAAACCATTGGACTTTATCAACAAGCAAATTTTAAGTAAAAAACCATCAGAGCAAGCTTTTTCTAATGGTTAAATGTATTGTTGTCTTAGGTCTTCCTCTACCTCATTATTTTCAAATTCAATCCATTTTTCTGACTTTCTGTTGGTCTTCTTCTGACATGACCAGACCACCTTAAAAAAATTTCCATTGTTTTCTCATTGAGGGCTACTCTGAATTTCTTAAATATTAATAATTTGTAATTTTATCATTTTCTTGTATTTTCACTGATCCACTCAATCACCTTTGTATTCTCATTTCTGCTAAAATTACTTATTGTTTTGTTGGCACTTCACAGCCCAAATACCAAAGAGCATGACTCATAATTTTCAGTAGATTTTTCATTTGAGTGTCATAGGCACTGTAATACTGAAGTCACAAAATTATACCCCAAGCATTTATCCATTTAATCATATTGCCACTAACTAAGATCCAATTTGGATTAGCTTCTACCCAGTGTTGTTAAATAGCTGTTATGGCGACGCCACAACGGTATGGCGGCGGCCGCGATCCGTTATTGCCGTTTAGGCTGTGTATGGCGGATCCGCCATTTCGAAGATAGCGGCCGTTACGGTCGTTATGGCGGTTTAGGAATGGCGGTCCATGGCATGAATGACGCAGCCAATTTTTTTTGTTTTTTTCGGTTTGGGCCATTTTTTATTTATTTTCCGGTTTGGGCCCGGATTTCTTTCCCGGATTGGGCACCCAACACATAAAGTAGGGTTGCAGAAACCCTAATACATATTAACCTCTCTTCAGTGCAACCCGCGGCTGCACCGACAAGACCCCCTTGCCACCGTCGCCTCCGCCTGCCACCATCGCCTCCGACACAGCTGCCACCGTCGCCTCCGATGCGGCCGCCACTATCACGTACGGCGTGACTTTCTTCTCCCCCTCCGCGTGCACCACTGTCGCGCCACCCTAACCTCCGCGCGCGCCGTCACCTCTGAGTGCGCCACCGCTACCTCCGACGAGACTTTCTTCCTCCTGGTTCTTCCTCCGCGTGTGATAGATTCTCACTCCGCAGGCCTCCTCCTTTGAGTTCTGCCATCACCGCTGCCATTTAATCTTTTTGTTGGTTAGGAATTTATGTTTCTTTATATGACTATCACTAGATTATGAATGCCATGAATTTTAGATTGTTATATTGTTGGTTTTAATATGTGTTTGTTATTTTTCTGTTTTTCATCATATTATATATATATATATATATAATTTTTTGTCTGACGTGATGTTCGTCATAGACCACTATGGCATCCGCCATGGCAATATGGCATTTAAAGGTCTTTGCCGCCATCCGTCATATAACCTTAATGATAACCTTGCTTCTAGCTTATGAGAGCTTTTATATTTAACAAGTATTTGATTTCTAACTTACAATAAAGCCCTTATAATTTTATAGGTGCAAAGAGTTAGGTGAGAGAGCTTCTGAAAAATTTGAGGTGTATAAATTAATTTTATGCAAGAAGTTTGATTCAATTTCCTTCCTGAATTCATTTTATTCTCTTATCCTATAAGTCTCTTATCCTATAACATTTTAATTTTATTGCACCTTGCACAATTCAATGTTCATAACACAGCCAAAAATTACTTGATCATTTGAATAATATTTAACCACATCAAGATTCAAGAGTCAAGCTCTCATGACAGAGGAAATAAGAATTTGTGCAATGAATGATAATGAAATAGAATTCAGAGAGATTGAAAGATGTTCTGGGAATATTCCTCATCACTTCTTAGCTTACTACCAGCCACTGCCTCAAACAATGTGGCTTTTACATTGTTTAATGTAGGTCCTGCCTACAAAACAATTTAATCCTCTCTCGTTACTAGTTACTCATATCTGTAGAACTTGGTAACATTTTTGTGAAATTTAGTTGAAAAACATAACTACACTTTCACCAAAACAAGTTTTAGAAATGACTAGGTTGAATGCAAGAGTCACATTAGCATATCACACAAATTCAGACTGAATAAGCTAGTCAACCAGACTTTAGTTTCATCTCTAGACTACCTTTGAGATTCAATTATTGGAAGGCTGACAGCTATGAAGCCTGGATACTTCAAAAATGGAAAAGTATCAATGTCAAACCTGTGCCAAATATTGATACTCCTTAGATACTTCTGGATATGTATCCCAAAAATATCCACTATTTTTTCATTTATTTTTTTTTTTAACTTTTTTTTCTAGGATACTTCTTGGATACATATTTGAGAAGTATCCAAAAAGCTTGCCTTAAGCTTCTTCTGCAACCATATTCTTTCTTATGCTTGAGAGGAGTTAGAGTACACACTCCTCTATTCATTCTTTAAGAAAAACTAAATAGATCCAAAATGGGTAGAATAGATGGTTTATGTGTATTTGTACCTTCAACTTTTGTCTATGATGAAGGGTATAAAAAGGAAAGGCATGGTTGTGGCACATTATTAGAGATATATCATCCACTTGTTAATGGTGCTAGACTTTTTAAACTGACACTATTGTCTCTGGAGAAATCAGACTTAGAAGCTATGCTTCTAAATGATGGTAAAGGGGAGAGGAGAGTGATACAAATAGCATTAGACAATAATTTAGTAATGATGTTTGAGTCCTAGGCTATTGTATAGAGCTCATATTTGTTTTAAGTTCTATCAAAGATGCTTTTATTGATATAGTGAACTAAAGTTGGTTATGGTATGAGCAGAAACTATATTTTATATGTTTTTTTGTTATGATCTCAAATATTTTTTTTTGTGAATTGTAATCATCATGATTATGAATTAATGAGAAATGATAGTGTGTATTTCTTTACCAATATTCTACTTCTACATAAATTTTCCTATAATTTTTTAGTAACGTATCCAAGACGTATCATATCCTAAATTTCAAAAAACTGTCATATCTCGATATCCATATTGTATCTTACCCATGTCGTACTAAGTATATGGCCTTCATAGGCTGACAGCAATAAGTTCACAAAAGAGTTCAATGATTTCTTAAGCAGCCATCATGTTCTCCTCTATGATAATATGCTCTACCTGCACAGAAGACCACATGAAGAACATAACTACCAAAGAAAAAAGTACCGAAATGATTTTCTTGCTGTCCAGAACCATTGGCTTAAAATTCTCAAACAGAAAAAAAAATTCAAGATTAAACATCATATGCAAATCAGTTTTAACCTAATTCGAGCCGTGGCTTCTTGGCCAGTCTGAAGTAGCTTGGCAATATCACGCCGCATATTCTTCAGCTGAATCTCTTTTCTGTTTCTTAGCAGCTCTATACGGGGAATTGTCAGTTTCAGCAGTACAAGTTACTTATAGATAAATGAAATGTCAAAGAACTAACAACAACAATAATTAAAAAAAGAAACACCAAAATAGAACACTTGTCCAGATGACCTATTGCAATAAACATAATCCTTTAGATCAAACTGAAATACAGCCCTCAGAATTCATGTATGAACAATTAAACCATAAGTAGAAAAAAAACCCAATTACTGAGTAAATAAAGATAAGAAATAATTCAGGATAAACTATCTGTAATAGTTCAACAAGACTAATTGATGCACAGTACATAACTCCTTGAGGGGGAGCGCTGAAGTTCAGCTATTAAATTCATTTTCAAAGTATACAAAATATACAATTGCAAGAAAATAAATAATAAAACCCCAGATTATATACAAAATCAAATAAATAAATAAACAGTACCACCTGAAAGCCTTAAAAGTTGAAACCCTTGTGAAGAAGGAATCAAACATGGCCATGGTGCGGGTTTCGATCAGAACCAAACCCTAATCACAGAAAAATAAAACCCAGATACTAAATATCGAGGATTGCTGTGACATTTACGATATCGAAGACGATTTTGGAAATTTCAGGTTTCGATTTTTTTTTAACTTGAGACAGAGTAACTCCTGGAAGAGTGTGATGGTGAGGGACTATCCACACTAAGGCACTCAAGACATGCCAGACTCATTGTGACTCTTGCAATCTTCAGCAACAAGTTGTGTCAGAAATAAGATCTGATTGAAACAAAAGACACAATTGCAATTTTTACTGTGCATTGATTCTCACATTAGACTGAATCTGTGGTGCCTAGAGAGTGGGATGTAGCTTGTAAAAGTATGGGAAGAAAGAATATCATAGTTAACAAAATTTTGAATCATCTATCTTGAAAGATTTGATCAACTTTCACACTTCTTCTCAAAAGAATGCACTGTGTGAGTAAGAAATATTTGATCTTCTCAGCATGTTTCTAACACCTTAGAAAAACAATGAAGCATCAAATGTGGTGATTATCAACCTCAGAATGATTTTCCCTTGCAGAATCACATATTTGATTATGTCAAAGGGCACACTTGGGGCCCTCATGATCTGGAACTGTTTACAAAATAAAAAACCGAAAATACCCTCGTTAAATGAGGGGTTTAGGGTTTTTTTTTGTCCTTTCATTCGAATTATATAGGTCTTGTTTCTTGACCCAATGAGTGAAGCATTTTATCTTTTGCTCTAAGCCGCAATTTTCCCTTCTCCCCCTCTTTCTCAGACGATCTGCTTCTTCTCCGGTAATAGTGTAGTTTCACTTTTCCAATGGTACTAGAACCTAAAAATTTGTTTTATTTTTTATTTTTTCATTTATTAGAAGTCCCATGTCATCTTTATATAGACAACAATTTCCATGTGAAAGTGTGTGCTTGTTACTGCAGGTTTCGGTCATGGTGCACGAAAATGGCAAGAGGGGGAAGCCAAACATTCTGGTGACTGGGACGCCAGGGACTGGGAAGACAACTGTGTGCACTGCTCTAGCAGAAGCAACCCAGCTCCGCCACATCAATGTTGGAGAATTAGTCAAAGAAAAGAACTTGCATGATGGCTGGGATGATGAGCTTGATTGTTATGTTATTAATGAAGACTTGGTAAGCTACCAGTTCGTATATTTAAGATCATTATCATTCTTTTATGCTTTTAGTTGGGATTTGGCTCATCTTAAGGTGAGTAAGTAAGAATCTAATATTATATATACTGATTATTTAAAGTGTGTTAATTTTATAAGGTAATTTAATTCTAAATTTCAAATGAATGGTAGATACACCTTTACTTCCTTATTTTACAAATCTCATTTTAGAATAGCCAAATCCTTTTGTTGTGCAACATATGGATTTTGATGAAGGTCTTTGAAGTTCATTTTTTTTGAAGTATGTAGTAGTAGTAGTAGATGAAGATTCTAATCTTTAACTAAACAATGATGATCCTTGTCAAATTTGAGGTGGTAAATATATTGAGCGTAGAATTGGAGACTATGTCATAGTTCCTTTCTTTTGGAGTAAAAGTGCATGCTACTTAATATTGAGCGTAAAATTGGAGACTACGTCACGGTTCCTTTCATTGGTAGTAAAGGTGCATGCTACTTAATGTTACAATCTTCCTGGATCAATTTCTAGTAACACTTTGGTGACAGTAACTTACTGAAGTAGGATTGTTTCTGGTCATACACTTTACAGACCCTTGCCAGAATTGCCATGTATTCTTGGTTTTCTAATATCTAATCCTTTTGCATCTGTCTTTACCCATTCCCCTCCTTTATTCATCTTGATATCAACTCTTGAAATTATTATCATAGTCCATACAAATGTTTAATTTCTAGTGGTACAACTGCGATAAAAGCACTAAAACTAATTCCTCTGAATTTTCCTTATGAGCGTAGTTGTAATTTCTTTGGGCCTCTTCGTTCAGTCCATTGCCACAAGTAAATGGAATCCCCTTTTTAATTTAGTATTAGAAACCTACTTGTTCAATTATGTGTCAAGTAGTTTAGTTTGATATTGAACTGCTTCCTGCATCTGGTTGATGTTTTGGATTATATGAAACAATTATGATATTATTCCCCCTCGTTGACGCATTTCTTGTCATCTTGTGTATGTAGCCTGATATATAGGTTTTAAGAGTATAATTTGCGTGGTTTCTGTAGGTCTGCGATGAACTTGAGAATGTTATGGAAGAGGGGGGAAACATTGTGGACTACCATGGCTGTGATTTCTTTCCTGAGCGATGGTTTGATTGTGTGGTTGTACTTCAAACTGATAACACCATTTTATATGACCGTTTGAGTAGAAGGTATGGAAGCACGATTTTCTGTAATTGAACGTTGATTTTGCTACTCTATTATTGGTTTCAGATTAACTTACCCAAAATATGTGGCAGAGGGTACAATGATTCAAAGCTTTCGAACAATATTGAATGTGAAATTTTCCAAGTTCTGCTTGAGGAGGCTAAAGAAAGTTACTCGGAGGACAAAGTAATTGCAATGAAGAGTGATAATATTGATGACATTAGTAGAAACATTGCAACTCTGACAGATTGGGTCAGAAATTGGCCTTTACCCTCATAATCTTGACAAAAAAATAGGGTATTTTGTATATACCATATTCTAAGAGAATGATGAAAGTGTTTCTAAGATCAACAGCTAAACTCTAAAGACAAATTTTGGTTTGGACCATGTGGCTTGTACTTTGGGATATTTATGTTATGAGTTTTAAATATGTCATTTAAAAGGGCATTTAACTTTTATTCTTTTTGCATTCAAAAGCATTTAACCCTTTACTGAGTTTTGTTATACTGAGTTTCAAATAGTTGTTGAGTGAGATTTGATTAAATGAGATGAAATACAAATCCAGGTGATGTAAAATGCTATTCCTATGGTAAAAGACAGGGACTTGTTTTTATTATCAAAACTTGGTGACTTACTACATTAAGAGACGCACATGTATTTTACTAAAAATATTATGTAGCAAACCGTGTCTAGTTTTATGGAGGGTTTTGTTTTGTTGAATTGAACCTAGCACGAAATCACATAAGGAGTTTACCCTTCAACAAAGCAACAAGCAAAGTATTTGTTCGAGACTTGTAAGACCAAATTTGCACTTAAATAAAGATGATTGAAAACGTCAAGTCTTAAATTAGTTGAACCTATCTCAACCTGTGAAGAGCAATAGTTACTATATGAGATGAATATTACTTAAGTTATTTTACAAACCTTAACCATATCTGTATCATATTTGCATTTAGCTAAAGATTACACAAGAAAAGGACCCCAACACAACAACTATATAATATATCAAATATATATGAGTCATGATTCTAATCTTTTGCATAGTGATTTTGCTACAGCCAGGTTCACTACACTATACTACATTGGATGTTCATTGCCTCCGTTTCGTCGTAAGATCTCATTACATTTTGCAAGTGTCATACTAACCCTCTTTTAAAATTTTGATATCCCATTTATGGAAATAAGATAGTCAACAATACCTTTAACATCTCAAGTTTTCTAAGCTTATTAAAAACAAAATATATTTTTTATTAATTAAAGAGATTTTATAAAATATTTAGAGGATTTTAAATAATTATGAGTGTTTTTAATAAATGTTGCGATATTGTTGTATAATATTTATTGGAGAAATATTTATTTTTTTAATATTTTGTTTAATAAATATTTATAGAAAAATGTGTTCTTATTATGTATTTTTATTTATAATTGGGCTAGGAGAAATATGTTTATTTTATATAGTATATGATTTTATTAATTTTATATTATTATTGAGGGAAGAAAAAAAAAAGAATCATGATTAAATCTTATAACTAATTGGTTTAAGATGGGGTTAAGTTTTTTTTTTTGTTTTTAAAAAAAAAGGATTACATCAATTTCTTTTCTCGCCCTAGACGTAGGATAATTGTTGAGTAGTGAGACTGATCCCGAATCTCTTTTTTGTTGTATACTTCTATATGATTCTTTATTATTCTAATTGATGATATTTATGTTTAATTTTGTGTATTAAACTAATCTTGTGGATCATTAATTGCTAGTGTGGGAACCTAAGGGAATCCATTTTTGATGATTGTATGAGAAGTTTTGTCTTCTATAGGATTCTTCATTACTCTAATTGATGATATATATATATATATATATGTGTGTGTGTGTGTGTGTTTTAAAAAATATATATGAGTGAAAATTCAGTTACTTCAAAAGTAACTCTTAAAAGAGTTATTTAATGAATGTAAGAT